AATCCATGTATTATTGACAAAGTTTTGGGGGGTACCCACGAGGGACGTTGGAGTATACCCATTCCGCCAGCCTAGTTATGGCTTATACTAGAACTACTTATAGCTAGAATATACCTGCTATCTAAGGCCTAAGGGGAATAGAGGAATCTTTTCAAGGCAAATGCTCTGCACTAAGAGAAACTCTATTCCCCAGCCCTCCTGCCTCTAGGCCTATAGAGTGGGACAACTACCAACTAAGCAACTGGGAATGGCCTAATCTTACTATAGAAGAGCTAGAATACGCTTGCTCAGCACAAATCCAAAGCAGCTCTCTAGGACCAGACGCCCTAACACAGGAGATTATTACTACAGCATATAAAGCACAGACAGAAACATTCTTTTATGTTTTCTCTACTTTGTTTAACTATAGCTACTACCTACAGGAATAGAAGAAAGCAACAGGAATTATCCTAAAAAAGCTAAACAAGCCTAATTACGCTGTACCTAAAGCCTATAGAGTAATTGCCTTGCTTAGCTGCCTAGGCAAGGTTGCAGAAAGAGTAGTAGCAAAACGCCTTAGAACTCTTGCAGAAACAACAGCTCTTCTTCACCCCTCACAACTAGGAGGAAGAGCACAAAAATCCACAATAGACGCATCTATACTGCTGCTAAACTAGGTCTAAGAGTAAAGAAAACTAAAACACATAACCTCTACAGTATTCCTAGATATTAAAGGTGCCTTTGACCACGTCGCTTTAAACTAGCTACTTGCTATACTACAACAGCTACAGCTACCTTGCAACCTAATAGCATAGGTTTAATTATTCCTATCTAAGCGCTAGCTAAGACTATCCTTTAATAGAGAAACAGAAGGCTTTAGCAGCATTACAGCAGGAATTCTATAAGGCAGCCCTGTCTTACTAATCCTGTTTCTAATATATATTAGACCTCTGTTTTAATCTATTACAAACTACTCCCTTTCCTACCTAGACAACCTAGCAATTACAGCATTATCTACTAGCCTAAAGAAGAATGCCTGCTTGCTAGAAAGAGACATAG